TTATCTTGTCTTCATCTGTCAGAAAATTACTTATGTTGTTTTAAATTGTAAAGTTTTAGATGCCAGACACTTTTGTTTCATTTGTCTCTTTAAGTGATTTTGTACATTTTTCTTGTCAGTACTTTTGAGTGCCAAGATAGCAGTCAGAAGGGGACAGCAGTCAGACAGTACCTGAATGTGTCCAGAGTTATCTTTCACTAACTTTTCTGTGCTGGTAAGACCAGTATAGAAACAAAAGAATCTGTATGAGGCTAAGAGTGTAATTTTTCCAGAAATAACTCTATAACAAAGAAAGTATCATCATCATCATAACTATCCTTTTGTGCTTTTATATGTCACACAAGGCTCACAAATCCCCCCCCCCCCCCTTTAATTCAATTCTATCCTTGCAATGCTTTCAAAATCACAGATTGAATCCAGTCAAACATTTCTGGCTTCTCTCTAATTTTTTTTAGGGTTTATTTTGTGCATCTCAATCCCTCTGTTTCCAATGCAAGTGCCTTTTTTGGTGATTTTCTGCTCCCTTCTTCTCAGCATATTACTCTATATAGCTCCACCCTTTGAAGCTGCTAACAGCCTTTGTTCTGAAATTTCTCTTATTTAAAGAAAAAATATAAAAAATGTATGGTGTGTGTGTATCTATAATATGTATGCATGTGTGTGTATATATATATATATATATATATATATATATATATATATATATATATACACACACATCCATGCATACATTCATATTGAGCACAAACATACATACATGCATGCATACACACACATGCTTTGCGCACACACACACAAAATATATAATATGTAACATATGCATGTGATAAATCTGGAATGGAGACATCATCTGTTCAGATATGTCTAAAGTAAGTAAAGAACCCATTTCTACCCACTGCGGCATACTGGGTATATAGATCAAGCCCCATATATTTACAAACCAATGAATGAATGAATAAATTAATGAGACACCACTGCACTCTGGACATTCCCACACGTGCTCCGTCTCCTTCCTCCGTAGCCAATGAAGAGTCGACATTCTAACAGTACAAGCTGCAACCTGATTACAAGTCTGCCTATGCCTCCGCCTTAGTGCTGAATGTCTTCCATACCCTCTACTCACACCCTGCTGAATCAGTCTCTCAGTTTTACCATCCAAACAACAATGGCAGAATGATGTGATCAGTGTAATGCTAGCTGCCTTTACTTCCCAGAATCCTGGTAGTTTTCGTTTAATATTTTGTTGTTGTTGTTTAGGTTGAGTCCACCGTGCAAACAATGATTGAAATAGGTCAAATGAATTTCAGCCCTGAGACTCAAGCTCCTCTTTGGGTTCCAGGGCCCCAGTTGTGGTGCAAAAATAGAACAGACCTAGTGCACCCCGGACAAGCATGTCCCAAAAGGTGACTAAACTTCAATGAGTTGGGCTAAAAGGTGCAGAGATTGCTGTAAACCACAATATAACGTGCCAACCCCTCTCCCCCAACCCCCGAAAGATTAAACACAAAAAGAGAAGAAGATTTAAGCTCCAATTTTGAATTTCTGGGAAGAAATTAGGCAAATGTGTTCATCTACTTCTGGATTTTAGTATTTTTCCAGATCCTAAATTTTGCATTCACCTCCAGTTTACACATCTGGCTTATTTAATTCAGAAACTGTTGGCTCCTCACCTCTCAGACAGTTGTACCACAATTACAAAGAAAACCCCCCTAATAAGTCAACTTGACATGCTTGGGGGCGGGTCGGGTGGACACAGTGGATCCATAACAATGAGGCCTGGTCACGATGAGTGCCGGTATTCCACAAGGGGAGATGCTGGAAGCAACCAATCTTTCTTCAACAAATGTGTATTCCAGTTCCTGATTAAGATGGCCGACTGATGTCGTATGCAGGAGGTCTAGGTATGCAAGAGCTGACATATGCTACTTCTTTCAGTTAGGCAACCATCTCATCTGCAGCCTGCATATCTCTTATCTATTTCTCCATCCACTGCACACAAAATCCAAATAAATATATAATAAGAACCATGCTGTGCTCCATAGAGATACAAATTTATGGAAAAACAACAGCAAATCAATTTACCCATTTATTTACATTAGAAAGATTCCAGTAAAATAATTAAAATATGTAAGCTTTAAAGCATTATTAGAATAATATAAATATATATATATATATTTTTTTTTTCAACATGTAAAAGTCATCAATGTAAAATATATTTTCCCCCCACACTCACTCTTTCATAAATGTCAACAATCTTTGGCATGGATTCGACAATCATGCTTGTCAACTGATGTAGCAAGCAAAATTCACCCTTAAAAGAGTGGTCAACACATAGTTTTGTGATTTACAGCTAGGCTGTTATATCTGCACCCTTCTACCTAACACTGTTAATTTCAGCAATTCCTTAACTAGTCGTCTTTTATGTCATGCTTGTTAAGAGGCAGTGGGTCTATTCTTCCCCCTCCCCCCTCTCCCCTAAAATAGGGTCTGAATTCCTGATAGGGAAAATAGACAATTTCAGTTACAAAGATGAACCCACCAGCTTGTTGCCATATTGGTAGTCCACAATCTGCCATTGGCTATTAAGGTGTCAGGGAGGATGCAGTCTGTTTGATCCAACACAGACACAGAAACTGGCTTCTGAAACCATGGGCTGTTGTTTAATGACAGTCTACAATATGATCTCAGATTGAGTGTAACAGTTAACTACAAGTGATCCAAAAGAGAGGCACAGAGCTTGAACCTACTGGCTGATTGCCTCAGTGTCACTACCTTATCCGACTTCTGTTGTATGTGTAATTACCTCAATCTGACTCAAGAAAAGAGCAGAACTCCAAACCTAAACCCCCAAGGCTGATTGCCTCATTGCCAGTACCTTATCTGGCTTCTTCTGTATGTTTAATTACTTCAGCTTGATTCAAGAGAGGAGCACAACTCAGAACCTGAACCTGCTGCCTGGGCAACCAGATGACAGTACACTGCCTGCAACTTGCTGAATGGAATCACTATTCCAGTGAGCCAATATCATGAGGTTCATGTGTAAGCCTATAAGCCGAGCACTCTGGAACATCAACTGTCCTGATGTGCGTCACATTAACATCATCATCATCATCATGTAGCAGGTCCTTTGCAGAACGTCGCTCTCATCACGGTCTGCCTAAAAGAAACTCGGTCTCTCGACAGCTCTCCCACCTCATGCACTTTCATACTCAAGGAGTCATTTATATCCTGTGCCCATCTTCGTGTTGGTCAGCCCCTGCTCCTCCTTCCTGATACCATGCCTTCTGCTAGCATTTTTTCCAATCGGCCGTGGCACTTGATATGACCAAAATGTTTCAGCTTCCGAGACAGGATGCTGTTTATTAGCCAATCTTCCTTGATGTTCAGATCTTACAAGATGACAGTATTTCTCCTCTTCTTTGTCCAAGATATTCTGAGAATCTTTCTATAACATTTTAGCTCAAAAGCAATCATTCTCTTTCTTAACGACTGGGAGATAGTCCACGACTCACATCAGAATTTTGCTACAGGGAAGATGCATTCTCTCAAAATTCAATTAACCATAGACTTTTAATGCTGTTTAATCTTTGCATTGCTATGGCCATCGTCCTTTTAATTTCTTTCCAGTCTCCACTGCTATTTATTATAGAGCCTAGATATTCAAAGTTTGTGACATTTTCAATTTCTATCTATTTTTGGGTGACAGCCAGTTTTATCTGTGGACATTATTTTTGTTGTCATTAGGCAACTGCACTAATCGTGCACTCAATCAGAATCAAGACTATCCCCCCCCCCCCCCCCCCCCCCCTCCCCGCCATACACTGCCCAAAAAGTAGTAACAAGAAGAAATATGGGCAGTTTTAAGTTACTTCCTGTTTATGCTACAGGTCTACCGGACTTACGACCAAGTTCCGTTCCGAATAACGTAGTAAGTCGAACTAGTCATAAGCAGAATTGATATTTTTCAATATTATTTTCATTCAAAATTATACAGAAAACACAAAATTCAATCTATGTACGTATAATATTAAATATTGCATCCCATTCAGGGAAATTTGTGACCCTATTTTCTATAATTTGTTACTATTTTTTTGGTTGGAGGTCGTAGGTGTGGATATCATAAGCCGCATGGGTCGTAAGTTGAAAAGGTGTACATTACGGACCAATTACCTTAAGCACAGCAGTTTCTATTTACTGCATTTATAAATGTACTTAACTGGATCGAAGCAATCATAATGAAAACAAGAGGAAAAAGACTTGCGACCATGGAGGGAATTTTTTTTTTTTTTTTTAAATTTTACTTGGTTGCACACTATTATTATGTCTATGTAGTTACATTAGTATCACTTCTGTATTTTTAAACAAAGAAGACACAAATAATAGATTGTACAATTTACTGCCTGGCATTTTTCACTGTGTTTCGTAATAACTGAATAAAATTAAGTAAATAAATGAATCCATTACAACTGAATTACACAATCAAACAAAATGAAAAGTAACTTTGTTTTACCAGGGCAAGCAACAACCATACAATGTTTACTGCATACAGCCAAATATTCCAGGCAATCTATAATGTTTTCTCTGTTTAAATTTACAAAGGGGAAACTGCTTTGATTTTTGTCTTTGTTTTGTGTTGTAGTTTGTGTCTCTTCTTATTGCCTGCTCATGAAGACCTGCACCTGCAACATCCTTGGGATTTTTTTATGTTGCTAGTGTCAGTTGTAGCTGACATATGCTTTGTGTTTTCCAATTCTTTGCCTTATCCTGATGGAGCAGCCAGACATCTTTATATTGGGTCATCTTCCAAAACTACTGCACGTATTTCAACCAATGTTCTACTTCTGTACAGGTCTCAAACTTTTCCCCTTACAAATCATAAATGTTTACTCTGCCCTGGAAAAGTAACTACCAAAGAAGCAAGACATAAAATAGGACAATCTCTAGATACTGATGACCATTTGTTCAGTAATGAAACCCACAGAGACTGCGACATCTACAAGTTATTTGCTGTTCCCACTACTATTTTCAGGTCCTTCTACTCCTCCATTTGTGGGGTCACCAGAGATATCTGAAGGCTGAGATTTGATAGACTCTGTGGCTTGTGATTTGGATGTTGATACTTCATTGGGCTGGCTGGCTGATAGAGCAGTGGCTTGAGCTGAGGTTGTGGAGCTACTAGATGACAGGCCATTGTTGTTATGGCTGTGAGGAATACAAGAATGAGGGTCAAATTAGCCAAAATCTTTACTGTTTTCAAATGTAGAGGGAGATCAAAGGAGAAGAAGCTGCACAGTCTGATGTCATTGTATGGAAGATTATCTGTGTCAGATCTGATTGAAAGTACATGAAACAGAAGGTTTTGGATAGACATGAATACCAATACCACACAACATGGACTTTAGGAAGAAGATACAAAAACAGTAATATGGGCCCCCATAGAAAATTATTAACTTAGTAAAGCAGCATATGAAGGCATGATATGTTATAAAGGAAAACTAACAGACACATAAAAAAAAAAAGAACAGGAGGTCTGCAACAGGGATGCCTTTTGTTGCCCCTACCTTTTAGTTCTGTCTTTAAAATGGCAGTAGACTGGATTATGAAAGCAACAATTAACACCAGGAATAGAATTCAGTGGACACTTACAAAACAACTAAATGACCTGGACTTTACTCAGGACATTCCTCTTTTATCTCACTCACGGAATCAGATGCAAGATAATTAAACATACTTGAAGAGAGATCATAACAATTAGGTCTTAAAATCCATAAGGGAAAGACAAAGATAATGAGAATTAACCAGGAAAATAGCAATCTACTTTTTCTTGGTGATATCCCACTCCAAGATGGAGTCTTCACTTCCCAGGACACTGCCTAGTACCTGTTTTAGGCTAAATCCACCTGAGGGTAATTCTGGAAAAATTAACCATATGGCAGGTTTGAACTCTAGATCTTTGAGCCGGCAGGTGAGTAACTAGCCACTATGCTAAAATGCCACAGCTCTCCCCTCCCCAGAGTGCAGGGATGAAACACAAATCTTGCACTACCACTTGCAGGTGGGGTGGTCACTCCTCTACTGCTGACTCTGACCCAAGAGGTCAAGATATGAGTCTTTTCTTTCTTACACTCCATGCCGTGTGGCATTGGTAGTCCTTCTGTCTCCTGGACATTCAATCAATTCTGATAGAGATGTAAAACTGTCCAGCATCTTCTCTCTTCGTCACCCTCTGCCTCTTTTCCCTCCAAAGACACAATATACTACAGTTTTCTCCCTTTCATGAGTCATTAACCACATTCCCCTCTTTTGTCGCTTTGTCTGTCCCTAACTTTGTGTTTAACCAGCGAACTTACTTCTCAGGAATGTCACCAGCAACAGAGTTCCTGCTTGTGTTGCTGTCTGACGGTGAAGTGGGTCCATTTAAATGTGGTTTATGTTCATCAGGTGCTATACTGCTCAGGACATCCTCATCAAATATTCTATATCTGGAAGTGAAATAAAAACAATATCATAAAGTCTGTTAGTGCCAGATATCAAGCAATAACATTGTCATAAAGTCTGTCTGTCCCAGAAATCAAGCAATAACATTGCCATAAAGTTTGTCAGCCCCAGAAATCAAGCAATAACAGTGTCATAAAGTCTGTCTGTCCCAGAAATCAAGCAATAACATTGTCATAAAGTCTATCAGCCCCAGAAATCAAGCAATAACATTGTCATAAAGTCTGTCAGCCCTAAGCAATAATATTGTCAAATATATTAATCAGGAATACCTCTTCTTCTTCTTTGTATTCACCAGCTGTTTAACTCCAGTGGAAAGTTATGGTTGTTCATCTACTTTTTGACTTTACTTGTGTTCCAGAATTTGGGTTTTGCATGTATATCTGTTTTACAGATCTGTCTTATTTATATGTAGTCTGTTGGTTTTTCCCCTCTCAGGCAGATGCAAGATGACTTCAAAGGAAACGAGCTTAATTAGTCAGCCTTTACAACATGCTTGTTTGGGGGCAGCGACTAAATTCTTGTTTTCCCATCTCAATGGGTTCTCAGAACCCACACAGAATAAAAAACTACAGAACCACTGCTATTAAAATAAATATAAAAACTTGATCGAAGAAAAAAAATAACACTGTAATTAAATTTAATAAAAATAATAAAAACACTAAGCGGGTGATGTCAGCAGTTTTTACTTCTCATGACTTTACCTACCTAGTACTCAGTTTTTACTTCCCATGACTTTACCCACCTGGTACTCAGTTTTTACTTCAAATGACTTTACCTACCTAGTACTCAGTTTTTACTTCCCATGACTTTACCTACCTAGTACTCAGTTTTTACTTCTCATGACTTTACCTACCTAGTACTCAGTTTTTACTTCCCATGACTTTACCTACCTAGTACTCAGTTTTTACTTCTCATGACTTTACCTACCTGGTACTCAGTTTTTACTTCTCATGACTTTACCTACCTGGTACTCAGTTTTTACTTCTCATGACTTTACCTACCAAGTACTCAGTTTTTACTTCTCATGACTTTACCTACCTAGTACTCAGTTTTTACTTCCCATGACTTTACCTACCTAGTACTCAGTTTTTACTTCCCATGACTTTACCTACCTAGTACTCAGTTTTTACTTCTCATGACTTTACCTACCTAGTACTCAGTTTTTACTTCCCATTACTTTACCTACCTAGTACTCAGTTTTCACTTCTCATGACTTTACCTACCTAGTACTCAGTTTTTACTTCCCATGACTTTACCTACCTAGTACTCAGTTTTTACTTCCCATGACTTTACCTACCTAGTACTCAGTTTTTACTTCCCATGACTTTACCTACCTAGTACTCAGTTTTTACTTCCCATGACTTTACCTACCTAGTACTCAGTTTTCACTTGTCATGGAAACAACTTCCCATGACTCACCTAGTACTCAAATGAACAAAAAAACTAACCTAGTACTCAGCACATGACTCCGTATTTTTACTTCTTGTTTACCTACCTAGACTGTTTTTTACTTCTGGACATTGGGGTGCAGTCAAAGGTCACTATAAAAAACAAAAGAGCTCCATGTCAAGAAATGAACATTTCACTAAGGGGACAAGACGTTTCATTAACCAACACAGAACAGGCGTCATCAGTCGTTTTACACTTGTGGAGCTTTTGAGGAGGAGATCGGAGCACCTATGGATCTGTCCGGAGTGCTGTGATGATAATCTTTTCTAATCACTAATCACTAAAAAAAAGCAGGGCTCAATATAGATTCATCCCCGTGTGGGTTCCGGGGCCCGGTTATAGGGAAAACAAGAACAGACCCACTGCCTACCCAAAAGCATGTCGTAAGAGTCGACTAATTGGGAGCGTCCTTCGAAGTCGGAGTGCATCTGCCTGAGAGGCAAGGAACCAGCAGTCTGCACACAAATGAGTCAGATCTGTAAAACGGATGCACATGCAACACTCAGGTTTTGGAACAGGACTGCAGTCCAGAAGTGGATGAACAACCAGAACTTTCGCAAGAGTTTACAGCTGGTGACCTCAAAGAAGAAGAAGAATACAGATTCAAAGCAAAGACCTTTAGGCCAGCGTCCATTAAGCTACAGCTGCTGGCTACCTTCTAATATTATCGTCATCATGTGCCTTGCTGACTGGCGTGGGCGATCATGCATCACCACAATCTGCTATCTGCAAATGTGTGTATCAGTGTAAACAAACACCATACCTTGAAAAAAAGGCTGTCAAGCATCTTCTCACTTTGTCTTTGTTTCCAAAGATCTCTTCAGTGGTCAAAACATATTCCAGTTTTCAAACATGACGAATGTCTCTTGCTGATGTTTGTGATAAGTTGTCTTTAAGCCCTTGCCTCTTTCACAACTTCTGGGCTGCTCTTTTTGTCCCTTGACCAATGAATTCCATGGATTATTCTGTCAAATCACATCTCCTGGGCCTCAAGAAATTATTTGGCTTGTTTATTAACTGTCCAGGATTCACAACCGTATGTTAAAACTGGCTGCATACAGCATGTTGGCGTCTGTGGCTTAGGCGTTGCGAACACGCTTCATAATGCCAGGGTACCAGGTTCAATCCCAGCTGCCGACTTTGCATATTGCGTTAGTTTCAAAAGTGGTATTGAGGAACCGGCCATCCAGAAAGCAATGGCAAACTACTGGACGTAAACATGCCTAGAAAAAGCACAACAGCCAAAAAATGCTGGGGTTGGTTCTGTAACTTTCTGTAAAGGATACACAACTAACTATATAGCAAGCAAGAATTCCTTTTCCTAACCTACAATGACATGGATTTATTGCACACAATGTTACCTTTTGATAGACTACCATTAAAGTACCTTATCTGTATGTTTGGGCCGTCTCTGTAGTCTTCTCTTACCCTATGGATTCTACAAGAGGAATGCCTTACCTAAAGCCATAGAGATCTTCAGATTCGTGGTTCTCCTCGTCGCTGTCTTCATCTGGTGCCACAAACATGACCACAAGTGTGATATCTCCTTGCTGCACAAGAAGTAAGAACAATGTATGAATGGAAACAATGTCTGAAAGAACATGTCTGAATGAGAACAATGTCTGAACTAGAACAATGTTCGAATGAGAAAAGTGTTTGAACAAAAACAAACATCTCAATGAGAACAATGTCTGTATAAGAACAATATCTGAAACAAGAATAAAAATTTCAGTGAGAACAATGTCTGAATAAGAACAATGTCTTAATAAGAACGATAATAATGTCTGAATGACAACAATATCTGAATAAGAAAAAATGCATAAATAAAAAACTATGTCTGAAAAAAATAATGTCTGAATAAAAACAATATTTGAAATAACAATTTCTGAATGAGAACACTGTCTGCATGATAAAAATGTTTGAGGAATAACAATGTATGAAGAATAACAATATATGAATAAGAACAAATGTATTAAATCTTCTTCTTCTTCGCGTTCACCAGCTGTACTCTGGTGGAAAGTTCTGGTTGTTTGTCCACACCTGGACTGCGGTCCTGCTCCAGAATCCGAGTGTTGCGTGTGCATCAGTTTTACAGATCGGATTCATTTGAATGCAGACTGTTGGTTCCTTGTCTCTCAGGCAGATGCACTCCGACTTCAAAGGAAGCTACCAATTGGTCGACTCTTACGACATGCTTTTTGGCAGGCAGTGAGTCTATTCTTGTTTTCCCCCACAATGGGGCCCCGGATCCCACACGGGGAGGAATGTATGAAATGTAAATGTATGTATGAGAATAATGTCTGAATTAGAACAAAGCCTTAATGAAAACATTGTCTGAATGAAAACAATAAACAAGAACAATGTTAAATAAAAATAATATCTCAAATAAAAAAAAAAACAATATCAAAAGAAAATTGTGACTGAAAACAATTTTCTGAAGACCATTATTCTCATTTTCGCGCGCGTACACATGCACACCCCCCTCCCCCCAATTCTACTTCGCTTTAAGAATGTCATCGGGTACTAAGGAGAAAAAAAAAAACGAATTGTTTGTGTACTGCAGAACCAAAGTTACCTGTTGGCTGAGAATCCTAACTGCCTCAGCATGTTTAGATTCACGAAGGTCAATGCCATTCACCGAAAGAATAGCATCACCAACATAGAGCTGCCCAGATCTTACAGCATGAAACATCTATGCATTTATGCATGCATGCGGACACACGCACACATACATCCACATCTATGCATTTATGCATGAATGCGGACACACGCACACATACATCCACATCTATGCATTTATGCATGCATGCGGACACACGCACACATACATCCACATCTATGCATTTATGCATGCATGCGGACAGACACATTTACAGAAGTGGTCAATATGTGTCCTCTCATTTCTACTTCTTTCCATGAGTGCCAATCAATGTGGGATCATATCTTTGTCATGCTGTTTCTTTGGCCTCAAAGTTTTCCCCAATTTATTTATATTTATTTCTGAGTCTGTTAAACATTAATGGAATATTTTGAACAGTATGCATGCCCATGTATACACATTCCCCCCTTCCCTACCCATCCAACCACCCACAAAACAAACAAACACACCTGCATGCAGACACAAACACCCCCCCCCCCCCATTTCCTACATCAACAGCCTGTGGCATACTCACGGTTATGGACATGCCCAAGCCCTCCTCTGGCTCTTTGTGAACAGTGACCACTCTAGTGTCTCCAAGACCATGCTTCTTTTTCAGCTCTGGGAAACTCTGCAAAAGGGAGTCACAAAGTAAGAATCAATCCATGGTTGACTCAGTAACTGACAGACACAACATAAAGATCCCCTCATGGTTGAATTAATAAATGACAGTCACAATTTAAAGATCACCACATGGTTGACTCAGTAAATGACAGTCACAATGTAAAGATCACCCCATGGCTGGAAAGGTAACAGAGAGTCACTGTAAATATCACCTCATGGTTGAATTGGTAAGAGACAGTCACAATGTAATGATCACCCCATGGCTGAAGTGGTAAGAGACAGTCACAATGTAAATATCATCCTATGGCTGAATTGGTTAACAGACAGTCACATGTAAATATCACTCCATGGTGACTCGATAACAGTCACAATTTAAATATCACCCTATGGCTGAATTGGTTAACAGACTGTCACAATGTAAATACATGGATGACTCAGTAACAGTCACAATACAAATATCACTACATGGATGATTCAGTAACAGACAGTCACAATGTAAATATCACTACATGGATGACTCAGTAACAGACAGTTACAATGTAAATATCACTACATGGATGACTAAGTAACAGACAGTCACAATGAAAATATAACTACATGGATGACTCAGTAACAGACAGTTACAATGTAAATATCACTACATGGATGACTCAGTAACAGACAGTCACAATGAAAATATCACACTATAGTTGAATCAGTAACAGACAGTCACAATGTAAATATCAATCCTATTGCAGAATTAGTTAACAGACAGTCACATGTTAATATCACCCCATGGATGACTCAGTAACAGACAGTTATAATGTAACTATCACTACATGGATGACTCAGTAACAGACAGTCACAATGTAAATATCACCACATGGATGACTCAGTAACAGACAGTCACAATGTAAATATCACCACATGGATGACTCAGTAACAGACAGTCACAATTTTATCTTCAAAAGGTCACATGCAGGATATGGGAAGATCATGAGGTCATAATTCCCAGATGTCATAGATGTAAAAACTAATCTGAGATTAAACTTGTTTCCAGATCATAAGTTCTCAACAATTAATACAGATAAGGAACAGAAGTTAAATGAACTCAAAAACACATGCTTCAGGGAAAATCATAAACATTAAAGAGGCTGTACTCAAGAAATATGAAGAAATAAGAGAGAGTTCTTGACAACTGCTGGTAAGAAAAAGAAGATAGCAATATATTATGCATAACATGAGGAAAAGTGGACAATTACTAATCAGACACTGAAATGGGAAACAAACGGACTGAGAAAATGAGGACATCCAAAAGAAACCTTCAGATGAACGTTTGTGACATAGGCCAAATATGCTGGACTGGATTCCATCCATGATATCTACAGGATTGTACAGGACAGAACCTAAGGGAGAACTAGACCCTACGTTATACATATTGGCAAGACAGGATGGTGGTGAAGCTTTTGTGGCAACTTACATGACCTGGAGGAACCGGCAACTTCTTCTTGCGCAAGCTGCGCCCACGACATGCTCTAATGACAGTTTTGTGGCGGTGGAGATGTATTTCAGCTTCCAGTTGGTTCCATAGTTTATCATGCTCCGCTCCACGCATGTCTCGGCCCAGCAGCTGAATCTGCTGAATTCTGTAAAGAGAGACATGGATATTTAGAATCTTGTACTTCAGGCAGCATTACAGGTTTATTGTTGGCATGTTTTCATTGTGCTTTAGTGAGGTATGGGGATACCAATAGGCATCCTCTCCATAGGACTAAGCATTGGCAGTACTATACAGACCATTTGTAGCTCACTCAGCATGATCCCTGGCTTCACCTGCTTTGTTAACTCTAAGGAGAAGGTGACACCATTACAATGGAAACAAAGCATGCTGCTGGATTAAAACAGCAGTGCTCTTGTCTGCCTGTCAGAGCTTTCCTACTAGACCAGATGCAAACCAAGGTTAATGGTCATGATTTATAGTAGATAATTTTACTTCAGTGTCGTACTGATTTCTATGGGTACTAATTTTTAGGTTGGGCCAACAGGGAAGCCCAGACAGTTTTTAGAAATCTGTTATAAAGGAGATTTGAACCTTTACCCACTGGACTACCAGACAAGTGTGCAAGCCACTGCATTCTAACAGCTTTCTTTTGGAGTATTGTGCCATATGTGTTTAACTTGACTAAACAACATGTGATGGCTGGACTGGATTATATAATGTTGGCAGCATTAACTCCTAGACTTGTGTTTGCCCATTAGGTGGTCTGTGGACACCTAGGAGCCAGCGGAACAAATTTAAGGGATAACATTTACACACACACTCACAAACCCACACACACACACAAAACCACTCAATATTAGAATTTAATATGTCTTTAATAAATTGAATGCAAAAACTGTCCCAGACAAACTAACAAACAAACAAAACAGAACTTAATAAAAGCTTATGGAAAACAAAAAGTAAGAGGTGATAGGACCACTGTTCTAGACTATTTGTGGTACTCATTTTATGAGGCTGAGCTGACTCAGATATTCATGTGGTCACCATAAACGGTGAAATGGTGCCATTATAGGCTTGGGTTAAATCAAAGGTCATCAGATAAACAGACGAGTGAAGATCCAAGATACTGCCACTGATTCATCTGAAACCGTGCAGACATAAAATGTGACTTTACTCATTTCAGTACCAAATGACTCATCCCAAGCTGGTTGGTCATACATGATATAGCCCTTACACAATGTATGGCCTTCTTAACCTCTGCCCCATCAAGAAATTATATTACCTCGCTCAATCCCACTAACTCCTAGTGCTGGTATGTAGCAGCCTATAGACGGACAAGGCAGACAACCAGGACACATATTTTCATGGAGTCCACCTCGAGTGCTAGAGGTTCTGGGTTCAATCCCCGGTAAGGGCTAGGATTTTTTCACATGGACTTGGACTAGTCATTCCCTCTGTTTTCTGGGTAGTGAGATCGGACGCCATGTGTGCATTGCAGCGCACGTAAAAAATCCCTTGGCAGTTGGAAATCTAAAAGAGTAGCCTAACGGCACTGCTCGGGCAAAAACTGGAGTTAAAAATCTACCCAAAGTATTTCAGGATTTTCGCCGGTGCTACAGAGTCTGTGCACTGTGCTCAGCTTCTTTGGACTCAGACGACTTAGAAGAAGAATGGAGCACTTGTTCAAAACCTCAAACCTCCTAGTATTGGTTCTGGTGCCCCATTTTGACAAGAAGAGACCCCACCTCAGTCCCCTAACAACCATGCCACAAAGCTGACTTATCAGCGTTTGCTGAAACTGGATATGTTAGGCCAAAAGACACAGGTTTTGACAAATCTCCTTAATTCCTGTTTTCTGTTCAGCTAAGTTGTTACTGGACCTCTACCTAAAGCCACATTTAGTTTAAAGGTTTAAAAAAAAAAAAAAACAGTCAACACAGGATGAATTAAAATAACTGTCTGGAACTCAAAACCTGAAACAATTAAATATTAATTACAGACAACAGTTGACACTCAGCATTAAAAAATGGAGATGGGCCGTTAGACAATTATAATCATTACGCTAAACAGGCAGTTTTAAAATATGTCAAAATACTATCTTTTACAGGGGATTTTACAACCTTTCCCATGGGATTTTTTAAAAGGCTGTCAATTTGCTGGCCCCGTTGCTGGAGACATTTTAGACTGATTATTTCCGATTCATAATAGCTGTTTCCTGTAATCAATTACACAGAGGAAGAAACCTATCTATATCAGTTAGCATTTATGACCTCGCATAGACATTAAAAGCCTTATCTATGCCACCTGCATGTACAGAACTCATGGCTTCTAACTGCTTGACAGAAAGAACACATCTAATAAAGGATTTTAAATGCTTGAAAAGGGAAAACTAACCAAGGATTTTACATGCTTGAGAAGGGAAAACTAACCAAGGATTTTACATGCTTGAAAAGGAAAAACTAACCAAGGATTTTACATGCTTGAGAAGGGAAAACTAACCAAGGATTTTACATGCCTGAGAAAAAAAAATTAATAAAATATTTTAAATGCTTGAAAGGATAATTAATCAATGATTTTACATGCTTGAAAAGGAAAACTAATCAAGGATTTTAAATGCCTGAAAAAAAACTAATCAAGGATTTTACATGCTTGAAAAGGAAAACTAATCAAGGATTTTAAATGCTTGAAAAGAAAACTAATCAAGCATTTTAAATGCTTGAAAAGAAAACTAATCAAGTATTTCATATGCCTGAAAAGAAGACTAATCAAGGATTTTAAATGCTTGAAAAGAAGACTAATCAAGAATTTTAAATGCTTGAAAAGAAAAACGAATCCTGAATCCTAAATGCTTTAAAAACAAACACACAAAAACTTCCAACAAAACTGCAACAGTTAAAAAGCTTCCACTGGCTATCATGGCGAGCAGGAACTTTTATACACACATATCTGTTTGCATTTCCTATTGAGGTAGTTGCAAACCCGATTGTTCCTGGTTTTTTGTCGGCTCTGTGGCTAAGTCGATGCGAAAGCTTCGTAATGCTGGGATGCCGGGTTCGATCCCAGCTGCGGGCCATGCGCCTTGCGTTGTTTTCGACAGGGGTATCAAGAAAGCCGACCGTCCAGTGGCAATGGCAAACTACTGGACATAAATTTGCCTAGAAAAACCACACAACAGCCAGGGGTTGTTGGGGTTGGTTCTGCAACGTCCTGTAAAGGATACGCAACCTTAGTTCGTGGTTTTACAATGCAATGATACGTGCAGTAGTTTGCCTACACCACTGCCCAAAACAAGGCAGCATTTTACATTAATCTGCTTGCAGCTGACTAAGAATACTGTTATATGCGGATTCTGAAACTGCGCTCACAAGCTCTTTAAAAAAAACACACACACACACACACAAACAAACAGTGAAATAGACATACACACACATTTGATGTATCCTGACAGTAACGGGTCACGGCTGCTGGGGGGAGGGGTGGGGTGGGGGAGGGGGAGAAAAAGTCCCTGCTATGTTCATTAAGTGTATCAACGGCAGATGTGGACTGGTTAGATCTGGACATACAGGATGACAAGACAGCATGGATCTATGTCTAGACTTCACAGCTGAACTCCCCATTTGGATTTCCGGGATCCCATGGGGTTGGGGGGGGGGGGGTCATTACACCCTTAACCACCCCGACCCCCCCCCTTTTCACACACACACACACAAATTAGTCGTGTGTTGTCCTTTACATAAAGTTTTAGAACCGAGCCCAGCAATTTTCAGGTTGTTTAGTTTCGCTAGGTAATTTTACATTCAGTAGTTTGCCATTGCTTTCTGAATGGCTGGCCCTCCATACCACTGTAGAAATCATTGCAAAACGATCTGCTGTCAAATCACCCGCAACTGGAATCGAATCGCGTTCAAAATGCCTAAATCATAGACGCCGACTTAACAAGTATGTCAGAAAAAGTGACAGACAGGGTTGGTAAAAGAGAGTGTGTGACAGAATGAAGGTGAGAGAGGGTGATAGTGTGTGAGAGAGGGTGAAAGTGAGTGAGAGAGAGAGAGAGAGAGAGAGAGAAAGAGAGAGAGAGTGTGTGTGTGTGTGTGTGTGTGTGTGTGAAGAGGGTGAAACAGTATAAATAAGAAAAGTCAGAGAGAATACGCGTGTGTGTGTATAGAGAGAGAGAGAGAGAGAGAGAGAGAGAGAGAGAGAGAGAGAGAGAGAAAGAGAAAAGAAAGAAGTGTTGAGAGAGAGAGAGAGAGAGAGAGAGAGAGAGAGAGAGAGAGAGAGAGAGAGAGAGAGAGAAAGCGAAAAGAAAGAAGTGTTGAGAGAGAAACATGAGGGAGTGAAATACATTTTTTAAAAGAGATATTAAAATAGGGGAATGAGAGCGAGAGATACAGACAGACAGACACACTATGCAAGGTAAGGAGCGAGAGAGGAAGGGGAAAGAAAGGAGGGATGTAAACACAAAGGGAAGGGAATTGCATTTTGACATAGAAAGATGTCCACGCAAGAGCTGACATACAAGGGCTAGGGGCTGTGGAGGGATGCAAGCTCGCTCACGTGACCAGACATGACACCTGATAAAAGATACTAGCGGTAGGATTTCCATTCCGTACTAATGTCGTGCTACAGGAGTCGATACAGTCTCGTAAAATGGTCACCCGATAAGGTTTAGAAGTTTCCGGGAACTGATAAGCAAAGGCTGCGAGGGCGTGAACTAGTCACACCAAACGTCAGTTACATGACCTAGTGTATACCGTGACAAGTCTTTGCACCTACCCTACAATGCAGGGGGAAAAAAGAGGAGGAGGGGGGGGGGGGGAGTGGGTGCTCAATTAGGGACAATATATGGTTCGTTCGTTCATTCTTTAGACCAACAGACAGACAACAAGACAGATAGATAGATAGATAGATAGATAGATAGATAGATAGATAGATAGATAGACAGACAGACAGACAGACAGACAGACAGACAGATAGATAGATAGATAGATAGATAGATAGATAGATAGATAGATAGATAGATAGATAGATAGATAGATAGATAGATAGATAGATAGATAGATAGATAGATAGATAGATAGATACGGACGACGGACGTACGGACGGGACGGAGATACGGACGGATAGACAGACAGACACAGACAGACA